CCAAAAAAGAAAAAAAAAACAATCCAATGGACTTTTTTTTTCCAAGTCTAAAGACGTTTCTCTTCCCACTCAGGAAGCTTTTTCAATCCAAAATGTCAGAATTGGCGTTAAGTTCCAGGCTTTATAGAGTGGACAAAGATGGATGGATTTAGAGATATATTTTGCAGTCAGCTCTGAAGTTTTCCATCTAGAGTCTTAAACAGAGGGTTGATGTAGTGTCTGTGTAGCACAGCTCTGCCTTTAGCTCACAATGAAAGAACCTGGAGAGCTTCAAACCACGGATTTAAGTTATCGTGTATTAAGAGGACCTTTACGTTACATAAAACTATGTTCTACAGTATAAAAATTTTTACATGATTATGGTTTTCACAATTGCTTCAGCTGTATTAAATAAACAAGGTCTTTATCTATTAATAAACGTGGAAATACCTATAATCTATAATGACATATGAACCTATAAACTGTGAAACACTGAATCTGAATAAAGAGAAACTATTATAAACAGACCGGGTATGTTGCTGTCAGTGGACACTCAGTGATTTAGCTCTCAGTTTTAGTGTAGCCCTGGATGAAGTGCTGGGAAATGCTTTGTGCTGCTAGCAGAGCTTTTAACCAGGTAGTTTGGTTTGCTGTGAGAGGAATGTTAAAACTTGACTGGATGAAGAGCCATAAAAGCCTCCCCATCTACCCTGCTTTAGTGCTTTTCTCTCAGGTTAACATCCTGTTATGTAAAGCCCTCCACTTCTCTCATCCCAGCACACCTGAAGCCCCCCCCTCCGCTTCATGTCAATGACGTTACGCTACATGATTGGCTAAAAGTTGCCACATGATGTAAAACATTGGTGTTGCCCAGACAACGATAATAACATCACGCAGCATCCGTGTGTCGGGAGCATCCATAGCGTTAGCGTGTCTAATGACGGATGAAGTTTTACCTGATTGATAACAAAACTGAAAAAAATCTGTTTCTGGTGAACAAAGTAACTGTTAGACTGTGATATAAAGAGCTGGGTAGCGCTGTGGCCAGCTGTGCTGGATCCATTCATGGTTCTACGCTAACATGCCTCCGCTCTGGCATTCCTTCTCTTGCACATATGGCAGTGACATTACAACACTGTAAGAAATGAATAGTATTAGAATAATTTACATTGCTACCAAGCTAACAGCTAGCAAACTCCTCCGTCTGTCCTTTCAGAACATTATGACCATTAAACAACTTGCTGATTGTCAGATGATGCTTCTTCGATCAATGGCTGCTTATCCACCTGGAGGTCTAAAGGGCAGCAATTATTTCATGCTTCAGTTTGTTTTATTTTTGTTAATCACAAAACAAGTCAAAATGTTGATGAGACGAGAAATGTTTAGTATTGAGTAGATTGCAAATCAGAGATCCTGGTAGAGAAAAGCAGCAAGCAGATGTTAAAGGCTGATGGGTGGCTTATTACAATCACTGTTGGGCATTTTGCAATCAAAATTTACCATAAAGCTAGAGCGAGGATAAGAATTACAGCTCAAAACTCATATATTGTGTGTGCAGCTGTCGACGGCCAACAGATGTTTTCAGTCGGTTGGCAGTTTTTCTGCTGCAGAGAGGTTCTAAAAGTGCTGATTTACAAACAGGTTCAAGCTGCTCCTCCTCATGAAAACCAAAGCAGTCGACCAAGATGGGCACAGACAAGCAGACCTGCAGGAATCCCAATTCTTCCAGAGATAATATTCTGTCCACTGCTGCCTGCTAGATAAAATAAGATGGAGGAGAAAATACACATTTCTAATACTTTAAAAGTTGGAGCTACAAACTAATCAATGTAAAGCTAAGATTTCTTTATTTGATTAATAATAGAAATGCCACCAACTATAAAACGTTATTCTTTACTTTTTCCATTTCCTTCAAACTTTGCCAGCTTGGGTCACTTGCAGCTGTGATCTACATGCTGTCTGCCTTCACATGCAGTTTTTATCTGCAAGGTTTTTTATTGTCAGAATTTCCTTTTCCCGCCACATCCAACTCCATTTAAAAAAAATGTATTCATCTAAATGTTGTTGTAACTTTCGTAGCATTTCTTCGTCCAGCTGTTGATGCTTATAGTTGTAGGCAGGAAGGATCTCCTGTAGAGGTCTGTCTACAGCGGCTCAACAGAAGCCTCTGACTAAAGACACTGTGCTGTCTGATAAAGTGGATGCTCGCTGTTGACCATAATTATCTTCTTTTGAAGAATTCCTTGTTGTGAAATCCTCTCCAGAGGCGTTCCTAGAACAGGTTCCAGATCTGCTCGGGTCCTGCTTCCTGCCACTGACGTTACGCTGCATGATTGGATGAATATTGCCACATGAGGTAAAACATTGTGGTTGCCCAGACTACGATAAAAACATCACGCAGCGTCCGTTGGCGTGTCTAATGACGGATGAAGTTTTACCTGATCAATTACAAAACTGAAAAAAATCTGTTTCCGGTGAACAAAGTAACTGTTAGACCGTGATATAAAGAGCTGGGTAGCGCTGAGGCTAGCTGTGCTCAGTAGCTAACAGGTTAGCCTCTTTTAGCTCGCTCAGTTAGCCATATTAAACTACACTTCTTTTAACTTTGTGTCAACAACAACCGTTCATTTTCTAAAAGTAGAATAACTGTTTTCTTTGTCTATATCTCTTCCAAAGTCGTTTTTGAGGAAGTTCCATTTTCCTCCTCTGCCCTCAGATCTTAATAAAAAGAATAAAAATAAACCAAGACTTTTTGTGTCACCTTGTTAAATAGCAGAGCTCAGTCTGCCTTAGAAGGCAGTGCTTTCCTTCCAGACTGACAATGATTGTTTTCTACTGTCTGCTACCGTATTTTAGATCGCCGATGAAGTGTAGAATAATAGAAATATGTTGAGACTCCAGAAGAGATCTGATCCTTAAGGAACGGGTGGGGAGACTTTCAGCTACCTGTTATGAAACGGCCAGCTGGACAAAAAAAAAAAAAAAGCACAATTATCGGGGTGGATAGAGAGCTCAATAAAAGTAAGACTTTTTTAATATACCTGAAACCTTTTGAGTCCTTTATGTGAAAATAGTTGCATTTAAATCATTTAAAAAATCATTTAGTTTTATGCTGCTTATTTTCTGTTTTTATTTTTCAACCTTAAAACAGTTAGTTAGTTTAATCGATTATTGAAATATTTGTCAACTAATTTAGTAATTGATCAATCGTTAACTAGAGTGTTAAGACTCAAACATTTAGTTGTCAAGGCGACACACTTAGAGCAGCAATTATACCAATTATACAAAAAAATTAAAAAAGAAAGGAGAAAAAAAATATATATATATATTTTAAACATTTTGCAGTTAAAATGAACTAAACAAATTTCGTCTGTCAGTCTGCTGTATCCAGGACTACCCAAGTGGAAAAGTCTTAGATTCACCTGATTTGATTTCATAAAGTCTTCTCTATAGAATCTTTGGCTTTTGATTATTAATTAATTAATTGAAAAAATATAATAAATAATCGACAGATGAACCCATTTGCAAAATAATGGTTGGTTGCAGCCCTAAAGGGAATGTCTCAAATAAAACCCAACAGAAACTTCAGACCCCTGTACGGGTTTCAGGGTTCTGATGGGTTTTAAAAACACTATTTTTTTTAAAATAAGACTCTTTCTTGTCTTTTTGTTTGCAGTTAGTTTCGTGTATAAAAAGCAGTTGAATTGATTCATCAACTAGTTTTGATACTGAAAATTATAGTTTTAAATAGAAACATCCAGACATTCAAAACAACTTTCCTTCCTGCAAACCATATTTATCTGAGGAAGGTTTTATGGTATATTTTAGATAGGATAGGGTTAACCCTAACCCATACAG